CTTTCTCATAAATATACGTGTGTGTAGATTAATGGGTATCATATGCCATATGAGGGGATTTCCTTGTAAACAATAACGTGACATAATCTCCATCAAGTGAATAAAGTAGGAGAGAGAATGTCTCATAATCATACTTAGTAGTAGAGATTGTGTCACATCATTGTATAAGAGGAAATCCTCTCATATGATACTCATTAATCTTTTTTATATATATATATATATATATATGATCTACATATTCTAAAACCCCAACACACCAAGTTTAGGGTGAATCCGTCGTCGTTTGACCCTCTATCGAGCCATGTGAAAAGTTCTATTCATTCAAAACCGTTAAAATTGATACGAGTGGATGAAGGGTCAAACGACGACGGGTTCACCCCAAACTTGGTGTGTTGGAGTTTTAGAATATGTAGATCAAGTTCAACGGAACGGATCATCCACAATGTCGCTCAATCATGTGATTTTAGAGGCGTCATAGGAGGAAATCCCCTCCTATGAAAGAACAATTTTTCAAAACCGGCTGATTTTTTTTTTCAAAATCGACTGTTTTTTTTTATTTATCAAAATCGACCCGCTTTTGTGATTAGCAGGCTAATCACTATCCTAAATAATCGGGGTTAGCAACCCAGACTATTTAGGATAGTGATTAACATGCTAATCACCCTTTAATTAGGGTTTAACACCCTCCTAAATAGTCGGGGTTGGCAACCCCGACTATTTAGGATAGTGATTAACCTGCTAATCACAAAACCGGGTCGATTTTGATAAATAAAAAAAACGGTCGATTTTGAAAAAAAAAATCGGTCGGTCTTGAAAAATTGTTCATATGTGAAAACTTGTGTCAACTTAAGTGGATAGGGAATAGTGTGTCCACTAAAGTTTTTAATCACTCATATTACCTAGGGATGCTTGTATTATATAAAAAGGTGTTTTATATTAATAAATGCGTGGCTACAAACTTTGGTGGACATCAACTTAAGTTGATAGGAGTCTTGCTCTCTCTCTCTCTCTTTATATATATATATATATATATATATATATATATATATATATATATATATATATATATATATATATA